CGGAGTTGGCTGCTAGCGGGGAAAGTTGGTCAAAGCTCGGATTCGAGAGGATCTGGAAGTGGAGTAAGAAGGCATTGCTGCTTCTGAAGTTGCTGGGCTCTTTTCGCAAGGGGGAGGGTGACATCTTGGTTTGGGGGATGATTTATTCACTCGTGTTGTAAAATCTAAAAAGACGCCCCTGAGAAGACGAAGGAACTGCTGGGACCCATGTGAACCACCGCTGGCCGCTTGACGCCCAGGCTGTCTGACCTGAGCGCGCCAGAGGAAGGTCCCGGAGCCAGAGCCCAGGTGGCACAGAGGTTATGAGCTAAGGCTGCTAACCAAAAGCCCCCCAGTTCAATCCCCAGTCGCTTCTCGGAAACCTTATGGGGGGAGTTCTTCTCTGTCCTATACGGTCGCTCTGAGTCGGAATCCACTCCATGGCAATGGGTTTGAATTTGACTGCCTAAGGCGCGCGAGAGGGTTTCACCTGCGAAATGAGCCGTGGGGACAGTGACGCACTGCCTTCCAGGATTAAGGGTTCTGGCGCCCGGGGGAGGATTGGCAGCCTGGAGCCTCCGACTTTACGGGCCCATCTCCCAGACTTTTCTAACTCAAAGCCGTCCTTGGCCCTAAAGCGAGCAGGAGTCACTGGGCTGTCAATTTCTCCAAAATATTAGAGGCCACCCAGCCTCCTGGCCCTGCACGTAAAATAAGCAGGATTCACAGCCTTTTCTCTGGCCTTGACATTAGGCCTTGGGGACGCAGTAATATCCCCTGGTCCTGGATTTCACTGCCTTCTCTAAAGAGAAAAAGTTCCAGGCTCCCCTGCAATTTTGGCTCTCTCTTCAAATGGGAATAATTGGGGTCCAAATTCAAGGGTGTCAGCACGGGCTCCAAGGGTCCCAGGGCAGTGCGACAGATAAAAATTCTGGCGCCATCCCCAGTGGAAACGCTGGGACTTTAGGTGGATATTATTCTGGAAGGAGCCCTGGTGGCGCAGTGGTTAAAGCGCTCTCGGCTCTAAACAAAAGGTCGCAGCAATTCGAACCGACCAGCCGCTCCGCGAGAGAAAGATGCGGCAGTCTGCTTCCAAAACGATTACAGCCTTGGAAACCCTATAGGGCAGTTCTACTCTGTCCTTACAGGGTCACTATGAGTCGAAATAGACTTCATGGCAATAGGCATGGTCTGGTTTTTTATATTATTCTGATGCGAATTCCAACTGGAGAGCGCCTTTATGAATGTTCCCTCTCCCCTGGCGTTTGTCTGGCGAAGAAGACTTGTCAGAGCGGGGCCACGCAGAGAGTGGTGGGCCGTTTGGGCGGGCGACTCCTTCGCGCCGCGTTTACACCTCTCCCTTTGTGACAAATCGATTTCCCGCGCCGCTGTTCTGCATTTGCGTCCCGCGGCGGCCCGGGGCCCAGCTGCGCCCGGTGTACACTTAGCACCGGCTTGTGAGTGTGTGCGTGTGTGCGCGCGTGTCTGACTTTCCGTCTACCTTTTTATGACTACATGTGTTTCCAACAAAAGGTCTTATTAGGACAATCTGGTTTCACTAATTTAGAAGCTGGGAACGTGGAAAGCAGGAGTCTTTTTTTTTTTTTTTTTAAAGAGCTTGCAGAAGTTCAGATTAAGAAATGACAGCGGGATGCCCAGTCCTCCTCTGAGTTGGTCTGCCTATTTTTATGACCTGTTCCTCTTTCCTCTCCCTGACTACCCCTGTTCCACCCCCACACCCCACCCCCATTCACACTCCACATTACTCCATTAGCTACTGGAGTGGAAAAGTGTTAAAGAACGTTTCTTCCAAAAATTAAGGTATTCGAAGTTTGATAAATTTACTGGGCTGGGAGAATCAGTGAAAGGGGAAAGACATCATTCTATAGGAAACAAAAAAAAAGTGGAGTGAATATCAATCAAGGGGGTAAACAATTTCTGGGGATGGAGTGGGGTGGGCAGCTGGAAGTCCTCACTTTGGATAATACCTAAGGCTTCTTTGCTAAACTTGGCCCAGGACATAATTCAAAAATCTGCAAAATTAAGATCTAATACTGAGGCTGTTAAGTGGAGTCTGATTTACCAATTTCAGCCAAAAAGAAAATTTAGGAAGAACAAGGATAAAAAATGTTCCTAAATAGGTGGCGGAGTAAAAGCCGTCTTTTAAATGTTCCCCCATCGGTTACCCCTCCAGAGAGGAATCCAAGAGGACTGCAAGGAGCGCCTGAGTCCTGGTTCCGCCCATCTGCCCACTGCAGGCGGGAGCCTGTTCTGGCTTTCCTGTGCCCTGAGACTGAGTCTCTCCGCTTGGGTCTAATTCAGTGTGAGCCTCACCGACCACGGCAGGTTGGAGGCCCAGCGCGGGTCCTGACTTCCTAGTATCACACGAACTTTCCTTCCTTGGCAACTCCTGGTGGTGGCCCCAGAACTAAGGACCCTTGCTATTTATTGCAAGGGACTTATCAGACCCTCCTGTTCTCCTCCCTAGCAACAAATTATTTATCAGAAGAATAGACCATGGCCATCTCACCGGGAAGAAAGGCGTCCTGGAGTGTGTGTGATTTCTCACGGACTTTGCCAGCCCCAGAGGCTGGTCACTTCGTCTCCGTCACCTCGATCTGCAGTCTACAACCTCCTTCCGGAGCTATTTGAAGACTATCCTTCCGCAGCTCATCCCCTGGCAGGCTGGCCCAAGAGGTGGCCAGAGGCCTCTGAGCCTCAGTTGCCTTCCTGGTCCTCTCTCCCCCTGGGTCTCACTACTCCTTTTAACTATGAGATGTGCTAGAGTTTCACACTAGCCAGTACCCAGAATCTCATCCCCTTCGCTCAAGATGCACAGTCCCCAGCTCCTTCCGCAGCCCTGACTGTGTCCTCGCTGTGCCAGCGGAGGCCACATGCGCAGCGCGGCCTGGATCTCGCAGGAGCCATCCCCCAGCCCAGGGCCGCCTCCCCGCCAACACGCGCGACCTCTGCATCTCCTCGGGGGCTCTCCCACAGCCAGCCTCCTCGGCCCAGCCCCTCTCCATACCCAGTACGAGGCCTGAATGAAGTCCGAGCTCCCTTCTTCTGGCATCCACTAGCAGCTAAACAACTGGGATTGCCCGCAATCCTTCAGTCCTGCAATATTTGGCGCCCACCGTGACGGTCCTGGGCCCTGGGCTTGCTGTGGCCTTGCACCTTGGGCCTGCTTTTCCCATTCCTCCGCCTGTTTTGGTGATCTCTCCTGCCCAGCCCTGGTCTTCTGCGCAGCAGTTTCTTTGGGACCTGTTTTCTGCCAGTGGTCCAGCCTCCGGTTCCCGGAGCAGTGACCAATGCTGCGATTCATCTCAGCCACGGGAAACGAGAACGGCAGGGTGTGCAGAATTTGTGAAGCCGGGTGCTAGGCATGTGGGGACTCGCAGAATTCTAGTCTCCCTACCTTTTCATATTTTAAAATTTCCTTGGTAAAAAGTTCAAAAATTATCATATATTTCGCAGTGCATTTTGTTAGTGCTCAAAGCGCCTACGCAAACACTTAACTCCAGCCGCCGGCGCATGCAACACGAGCAGCCACGCCCGCACCAATGCCCTAAATAGGACACCTTCGCCTCGGCGCGGAGCTCTTACCCCGAACTTGAGGACTCTGGGTCTTCATGCCTCTGAGTTGGCCAACTTTCCCTAGGGAAAGGCCAGGCCAGATTCGGCCAGCGCCCAGCGCCCTTGGCGGGTGAGTAGCTAGAGTGGATCGGCCCCAGGTCGCTTTTGGCTAAAAACGCCCTAGGCCTGGACCAAGGAAGCAGGGCGAGGGGCAGGCGGCCTGCCGCAGAAGGGGGCTCTCCTTGTGGCCTGCTTTAGCCGACCCTCCGAGCTCCCACCACTTTGCCCAGGCCCTGTTTTCAGGTGTTTCTGAGTCCGGTTTGTTTTGTATGTCTATTTACTAACAGTCTGAGATTGACATTGTGATTTGGAAATGATAGAATCCCGGTGGGGTCCCTAGTTCCACAGGTTCCAAAGTTGAAGACAAAATAGCAGTTAGCAAATCATGACATGGAAAGCAATCAGTCTTCATTTTAGAACTTCGGACAAGTTCAGACTCTTACAACCTCGGGAAGAGGAGGGAATATCTGTGTTTATCCAGTCTCATGTCACCTGGAATGAGCCAGGTGACAGGTCTGTTACAGGCTGGGGATGTATAAGTACAGTTGAAGTCATCTTTTAAAGCACGGTTACTACTGAGAGGCGAGATCGAGACTGTGCTTGAACTTTCTTGGAAGTCAAGAGGCCAAGAGGGAGAGCTCTTCGAATCTGACACCAGGATTATGCATTGGAGCCCGCGCTTCCCCTGCGCACCTACAAAGGTGCGGGATCTTTCGGGGCAGTAGCTCGGGTTTCACCCCTAAAAGACACTCCCTTTGCTTGATATGAGTCTTCCCAAGTCAGCCAAGTTTTTGACTCTGCCGAGGTCTCTCGAGCCCACTGCAGGTGGAGGCATCAGCAGAGGCCAGAGAGCAGCTCGGGCGGCTCCGGTGCTCGCACTCGGCCTTTCTTGTCCCGGCTGGATGCGCAGCCGGAGCCGCCCGACCAGCTCCCCGTGCCCAGAGCCTGCAGTCTGTGTGCCCCAGACACTGCATACGCGACCTCCCCACCCGACTCGGCATCTTTAACGCAAACAGAACGGGCTGCCCGAGTTTGCGCCCCTCCAGGACCGGTTTCCCAGCCCAGTAGGTCACCCCGCGCGCGAGATGAGCAGGCAGCCGCGCTCGCCCGGGACGGAGAGGCAGCCCCAACGGCCTCAGCGACCGCACGACCCCGACCGCAAGGCGGAGAAGCGGCGCCCCAAGCCTCCGAGCCTCCCTCCAGCGTCCGCTCCGGCCGAGCCCTAGTCTTCTCGCCCGTTTTCCCCCGCCTGAGCCGGCCTTCCTCCGGGAACCGTCACCACTTTTCCTTGCCCTGCGACTTTTCCCCCATGACCAGGGCCGGCTGTCAGGCCCCGGTCGCGGGCACACCCCCCACCCTCCAGCGGGCATGCGCCCCTCACTCACTGTCCTGCTGCGGGGTGTCGCTGCCGCTGGTGAGTCCCGGCGACTCCAGCAGGCTCCGGCCCGCCTCACCCACGCTCTCGTCCGCCTGTGCCGCCACCATGTCTCCGGCCTCCTCCAGGTCTAGCAGGTGACTGACGGAGAAGTTCTTTTTCGCCTGCAGAGTGTCGAGGTTGCCTGGGCTGTCCAAGCGGCCGCCCAGCGCCGGCTGCCGCTCCAGAACGTGCCCGTAGCTGGAGGTCATGGTCTCCCCCTCCGATCCCACCCACCCCCCTCTTCCCGCTCGAATCAACACCAAACTCTGTGGGCGCGAGGGGGGAGAGGAACAGAGTGGGGAAGAGAGAGGGGGGAGTAGAGAGAGAGGGAGAAGGAGAGAGAGAGAGAAGGAGGGGAAGACCAAAAAAAAAAAAAAAGTGGAAAAGAGGGCGGGGGACCCGCTTCTGAAGAGCAGAGCGTTCTGCACCAGCAGCCTCGGCTGTTTTCCTGAGGCCAAGTCCGGCGCGGTCCAAAGAGATAATCCACACCAAAAAATAGAATTAAGAAGTCACCCTGTGTTCAAGTCAGGAGAAAAAATCCCTTCCAGCTCTCCAAAAGTGTCCGCACGCACACACTAAAAATAATAATAAGGGGGAGAGAGGAAAGTGGAGGCCAGCAGGGCGGGGGAGTTAGGCAAACAGAAGAAGAAAGAAGGGGTGGGAGAGAAGAATCAAAGTGGATTTTTTTAAAAAGGTTAAAAAAGTTATTCCCAGGCAAGAGTTCAAGCACCAACAGAAGAAGGCTTGTTCCAGCTTTAAAACATCTTCAAGAAAACGTGTTCCCCCCTCTCTGCACTCCTGTGGATTCTCAGGAGTGACTAAGGTTTCAGGAGGAGAGGGTGATGTCTTGCAGATGTATTGGAGAGCAGGATTCTCACTTTACTTTTGGTAAGGAGTAAAAAAAAAAAAAAAAAAAAATTAGGGCTTCAAGAGTTCGAAAGAGGGTGGTGGTGGGTTTCCCCCTTTCCCTTCTCTCTCTCCCCCTCTTCTTGATGAACTTCTTTTTCCTTCTCAGTTGGATCAAGAAGCTCTCTGGCACTTCAAAAGGCACAAACTGGCATGCAAAAGAGGCTTTGTAGGGAATACAAGAAAATTGGAGACCCCTGGGAGGGCAGATCTCGACTTAATAGGAGCCTGTAATTACGTGGCAAAGCCTTTGTGCCGCGCCTGACGTTTTACAGACCCCTTTTCTCCATCACAATCTCCTTCTTCCTCCTTTCCCTCAGACCAAAAAAACAGTCTGATTAAGAAAACCCCTTTTGCCAACATCTGAGCAAGAGAGAAAGGGAGAGGGAGGGAGCGAGAGAGAACGAAAGAGGGAGGAGGGAGAGAAGAGGGAGGGAGGAGAGAGCGAGAGAGCCCCTTTGGATTTTGTCTAAGTAAAGGTCTAATTATCATTCGCCTGCAGTAGTATCACGGGGAGCAAAGACAAACTGAAACCCACAGTCACTTCAAACGGGCTGATTATTTTGCTTCCGCATTAACTCCTCCAGATTTGTTTAAGATTCTGTTGGAAAATCTCATTTGCATGTTTTGATAACAGCTGCGGGGAAACTTATTGGAAAAAATCCACAGCTATCGCAATCAAATTTTCTTCTCCCTCTGCATTTTTTTTTTTTTTTTAGTGTTGCCTGCTATTCGAAAAGTTTCTTTGGGTAAGGGCAGGGGGGCTGAGAGAACAAGTGAGAGAGAAGGTTACGTTTGGCTCTGTAGAGATAGGCTACTAAATAACGTAATAAAACAACAAAAGCGATAGTAATGGGAGGCTCTCCCACGCTTTTCCCGCAGACTAAAGGCAAGTTGGGGAGATCCACGAGGCACTGAATCGATTCGAAGCTTTACTGCCAAAGGAATCCCTCAGCCAGGGCAGTAGGGAATTTACATATTTATTTAGCTGGAGGAAAGGACTCTAACGTCGTCATCGTTCCCACCTACCCAATTCCAATTTTGTAACCTCTTTGGTGAGACCAAAGTCGCTGTGCCCCAAGCGACGACGCTAAACGGAGAGGGTCCCACTGCCCAGACGCGGATTAGGCAGGGGCACTCGGAGGGCGAGTGGTGGGGCGAGGCTCCAGGGTGCTCTAGGCGCTAGCCGCGGTGCAGGGCATGCGGACGTGAGCGGTGACGCAGAGGAAGCCCATCTAAATCTACGGATAATGCTCTGTCTTCCGCTCTGCAGAGCCCTAACCTGACAAAGGGTAAAGAGGTGCTGAGCGGTATTTTCATGACCTGCTGGAAGTTGGTAACAGCTTTAATAGTGTCATTAGAAATGAGTTACTATATGACGAGTAAGTAAAATATTAAGTGCTTATTTGTGGCGTTTTATGTTCCTTAAACATACATACACTCTCCCTCACTCCCTTGATTGCTAGACTTTTTTTCTTTTTTCCTGCAGCCAAGAGACTCGACTGGAGAGAAAGAAGGGTCCGAGTGTGTGTAAATGGTTTCTGAGCTCCAAACGGCCATAGTTAGCCCAGAACTTCCAGCCCTGATCTGGGAAAAGAACATTTGATGCCATCAAAGGGCTGCAGATTGAAACCAGATGTGCTCGCCTCGGTTCTTTCCATGCATTTAATTAAGGAGCCGAGATGGAGGAGACTTTTTCATCATTAGTCCACCCAC